TTTTAACAGCAGCGTTCAATCTTCGTATAGTTATCAATCTGCTGTGATGACCTACATAAGGTAGCTTGATGTACATGTCTAAATTAGGGTCTTGGTGTTCTGACTACTATATATCTCGTGAAGAAGTTGTCTGAATAATGGTTATCAACTAGAGTTTGTGTCAACTTTCTTTCTTCCTCATCAAGTGCGTCTGAAGTGCATATTCGTTGGATTCTACTAAATAGGAACCTTTCTAAGTCTCTTTTTTGCCGAACAGGGCAGGTATATCATAAAATGTGAAACAGTATTATTTGCTGGATGACAAGGTTTTGAACAAAATTCATTACTGTTCATAATCATTACGATTGGAATCACACAACTTTAAAACTTTAGTTTTATAGTTTTCTTTATTCCTTCCAATTTGTGGTTGTAAGTTTGGTAGAATTTTCCAGATGTCTTTTTGGACAGGTGTTGAATCATTCCTAATACATGTATTCCCTGTCAGTTGATTCGATAATTAAAGCTTCCGTTATCAATTTTAAAACTCATCTTATCCCATCCTAATGTGAGGTTGTGTGCAACTGCACATAGTGACTAGGATAGCTGAGTTATTCGCCATATTTCTTATCTTATCAGAATCTTTTATAACCGGGTTTGGTGCTAATTAGCAGCGTACATCTACAACTTCAACAGGAATTCAGTCACTTGGACTGGAAATGAATAATCGCTGTATTCTAAATTTTATTACCTTGTGGTATAAGGCTACCCAAAAGTAGTCCCTAAGATGAACATTCAGTTCATACTGACATGATGAACTCTACCTGCCACGACTTTTCACCAGATCCATCTATTAGCATCCATCACTGGACTTCAGATGGATGTACAAATTATGTTTCTTTTATAGGGATTTGGAGTAATTTTAATACAGATTTATCTGAAGGAATTACGAATCGATAGAAATTAAGATTCATGGATTTTTGAGTTCCAGCCAAAGTGGTTGAAAAGTTGACGAGCCTTATTCTTAAAACCTTAACATCTTGGGTTTGACCTTGTTTTTGACATGGGTGTGTACTGATGATGAATGTGTCCAAAAATGAGACGATACATTGATTTGGTGTTCCCTGATTTTCAAATTCCCTCTACAACTGGTGTTGGTTTCTTGACGAAGTCTAAGAACTGAGACTGCAATAATTCAATTTTCCATAAAAAAAACTATTATATGAACTTAGGATCTATAGTAAATAATAATCAATCAAACTTAATCAGCCTTCTCTATTTAATTGGCCCTAAAACAGAACGGCAGTTTGAAAGCCGTAGTAGAGTATCTAGTAGAATATCGCTCAGCACAAAGAAAGAAATTGCTCCGATAAGGGTTAGGAACTTGGTGAATGCGCCAATAAAATCACTTACAACAGCCAACTGCAGACTCTTCCATATTAGTTTGATTATTAGATACATCACACAGCGAGTGAAACAGTATTATTTACTGAATGACAAAGTTCCAAACAAAATTTATTGTTCATTATCATATCAGTTATAATCACACGACTTCGAAAATTGAATTTTATAGTTTTCTTTGTCCTCTCCTACTTTTCGTAGGGGTAGTAGAATTTTCCAGATATCACGGTGGGTGGACAGGTGTTGAATCATTCCTATCACACGTATTTGTAGTTGATTCGATAAAGAAAGCTTCCATTATCAATCTCTACCTCCACCCTGTTATATTGGATTTTAAAACTGTCATCTTACCGCATCCTATTGCATGGATGGTTGTGTGTGATTGCATGTAGTGAGTGCTGTAGCTGAACAATTCTCTAGATTTCTTACCTTATTTGGGTCAACTAATCTGGATTTTGCTAGGTTGTATGCTCAGCTAGTCTGACTGCGCCTGTTCTATTACTTTGACCTATGTATTTGATCTGACAACCATTTCAGATAGGGTATTAGATAAACTAAATTATATTGTTTAATTGGCCCTACAGCATCCTTTATCCGGCAAGGCTTGTTTCTAATTGAGTTTGTGGGTTTGAATACCAGCCACTTTTATTCTTGTCTGTATTGTTTAGAATTCTGCATAAGTTTTCCGATGTTCCTTCTTTGTATGGAAACACTACAACACACGAATTTGATAAGCAATTTCATAATGTAAACACACTCGGCTTTTATAATTTTCCACAATTATCAAATCCAACAATCCACACCTGGTTTTGTTATCTTTACCAATTGGCCAATTTGACAACGCGAAGATGACCCCATACTGAGGAATGATGATTAAGTTGAGATTTTGTAAATTCTGGTACAGTATAATTACTTTGATAAAGCTATTAGCAGAAGCATTAAATAGCGAAACGTCAGTAAACACACAACAATATCGTCAGTTTTTCATTCGTTGGGAAATACAAAAAACCTTTAATTATAATGAATATCATATACCCAATGCCCAAATTTTTCCAAACTGTTAAAAGTGAACTTGGTTTGGACATATACAACGATTTCATTAATTATGATGTCTTATTTGTTTCTCCATTCTATTCTTCTTATGTGAATATTTTGATGTATTCTGGAAAATGCGTTTATACACAGTACAGAAATTTCAGGGAGTTTCATTGCAAGGTATTCACTCCTTGTGCGGAATCTTCAAACAATATAATAATCGATTATATATTATCGAAAGCAATAGTGATCCCACTCAAAGCTTTCTTCAGTATCGCTTCACAATGCTCTTTCTTCATCTCATTCGAAACATTCCCAGTGGTAGGCAGAAAAATGTTTTAAATAGCGCGCGAATATACATTTTGATTCATTTCTGTAATTAAATCATTAAAACAATTTCGGAAAGAGTAAACACATTTTTTAATAAAATTATATTTGTAAAATCTCAGCGAAATTGAAATGATCAACATCTAGTTACTGAGGAGGAAGATATTAGCAAGGAACTAAAATTGGTTCAATCCACTCTTGAATCAAATAATTATCCTAAAGACTTCATAAAAAGATATTTAAAATGTGAAGATAAGGATGAATCGAAACCTGATGCTAAGAATTGGGTTAGTACAGCGGTGATTCCTTACCGCTAAAAAGACATCCGATGAAATCAAGCGAATCCTTAACGATCATAACGTAAGAGTGTATTTTCGTGCAACTAACACCTTACGTTCATCATAGATCAAGAAAACCAGCAGAATTGCGTATACCAGATCAATTGTTGGGATTGTAACGCTGTATATGTAGGAGAAACTTCCAAACAGGTAAATGTAAGAGTAAAAGAGCATAAACGATGTCTAAAGGTGGTTCCAAAGACCTCTGCAGACTTGAAGAAGCCAGAAAACAACTCAGTGATTGCACTGCATTCGAAAGAAACGGCACACAAGATCGACTTTGATAAGACTAAGGTCTCACAGAAAGGTTTTGGTTCATAGAAAGAAAGACTGACTGTAGAAGCCCTACATCTACGGATGAATCCCAACAGTTTGAACAGACGCGAAGGTGTGATGTTAGCTGATGCATGGCAAATCCTGACTAATAAATAAAATTGTATATATATCAACAACTAGTCACACTTGGTCAAATTCCCGATTGTCTACGTCTTATGGGGAGAAGAACAAATGTTTTATGACTGTTCACACACACACATACACACACCATTGTATACTTTTATACACATATATTTCAACAAAAGCAGACTAATCTTGAAAGTCTGAGGTCAAATTTTGATCACAGTTCATACAATTTTGTTTATTATACATGTTGATGCCTGTTTCATGGCTCATGATTGGAAAAAGTTTCAAAACCAAGAGATGGAACATCTCTCTTATATATAAACCTCTGTCATGTTAATTTCGATTAATTCCCCTGAGGAAGTTCGGACCAGATTGCAGAACGAAAAGTTGGAATTCATCATTTCAATCTCGCTGAGATTTTACAAATATAATTTTTTACAAATGTCTACTTCTCACTCGGCGCTCAATTATTTTGCAACTATCCGGTGAAATCTTGATCACAGTTCATATGCACGATTTATTTTGATACGCGGAAAATCGTCTTATTCAAATGGTCTTCAACTGAATCCCAATAAATGTCAGAATGTTAATTTTAGCCTCAAATGTGAAGACTTGTTGTGACGGATTCATTCGCATGATTCCAGTAATTTTAACAGCATTATGTGTTAGGAAACAAACTGGATATTACCTGTCTTGGCATCAGTTCCTTTTTCTATCTGTGATAGTCGCTTCATGTCCTTTTCATTTCTAAGAGAATGTTTCGTTTGACTTACTACATAAAGAAGTTTAGATTTTCTGGCATAAGCCAACTTCTTCTCTCATAATTTATTTATTCATGTATCCCGCTCATTCCTCTTTATTACTCTCTGAGCTTCTCCAGAAGGATTATGTTACCGGTTACATAGAACTTTGAAAGCTGCCAGCAGGGTGAGTGGTGTGTCTTTGTTCCAATTTCAGCTGAAACTAGAAGAAATTTCTTTAAAATCTACGCTCATTACGGCTAACAAATATGTAGAAATTCAAACATGCCATATTTAGCATGTGTGTCCTGTGAAGAGAGACAAACGTCAGCGCAAACAGTTCATAAAGCTACTTTTTTTATTCCTTTAGGTTCCCAGTGGAACAAGGGGGGCTCCAAGCTAGTGGCTTGAAGTTTCGGTAGCAGTGGTGTTTATTACTTTTACGGGATGGGGTTGCTAGCCTCATTCACAACATTCCCTCTTTACTGGTCTTCCTACCTGCTGAGCGAGGTAACGGAGTGCGTACGTGGCCGTGGATAGAAACCCGAACCACCTGCGTGGTTGGTGAGCTCCCTACCACTGTGCAACCAACGCTAATTAATGCTATCGGGTAGTGTGTATTTCACCACATGTGACTTGATGAACCTCATGGGTGAAGCTTCTCATAAAATCATCAGGATGTCCTTACTTATGAGCAGTGTGTGTGTGTTTGTGGTGAAGGTAAACATATGGTTACTGTATTTTACACTAATAATAACTGACGATATACATTTATATATCAATGATGAAACTATCCTTTTACCTTACAGGTGCACAAAATATCTCAACAATATTAAAGCATGTTTCTGTACCAATTGTACCAAATGATCAGTGTACAATGAGTTATGCAACATTACGAAATGGACCGAATCCAGTTTATGTATCAATTCAGAATAATGTAATATGTGCAGGATTTGCAGAAGGTGGGAAAGATGCCTGTCAGGTAGGCCTTCAATGTCCCTTTTAAAAAAATGGTTTTAGCACAAAATAAATCAGGGTGTTCGACCTCCTGAATACGAAATACATACATATTGGATAATAATAATAATAATTTGCTTTATTCCAAAACAGTACATGTGATACAGAATGGAATTCTCAGCATTTTTACTACAGTATTGCATCCAGTTAGTACATTATCAATAAATAGAATTCTACATAGATTAAGGAAACCACAGTTCATTATTACAGCAATACATTGGCATGTCGGTAGCAAAGGTAAAGCTGAAACAGTGTTTGAAGGTGTTAAAAAAGTAGGTGCTGTCATATTTACTGGCGTAAGCGGAAGAAAGAAACAAAGCAGCATATAACAGAAAAAAGAGAGAGAGAAAAGAAAAAGAAAGAAAGTGTTGTACCTATAAATGATATGAGTTGAAAAGACGAGATCCAGTTGTTCTACCGACTACTTAATGAATTATAGGTATCACGCCTAATGCTTTCTTTATCACACAGAACACGAGCTAAGTAGGGTATGGTTGAGTTTTTGTACTTGCTGGTGCAAGCATATAGTTTTCTATATAGGCTTCTGGTTTTACCTGATGAGATGCAAGGGGAGAGTTGTGAGTGAAGAGAGTGGTGTGAGTCAGATAAAATGGACTTGGCTCATTTCTCACATGAGTCCATATGCCTGTCGACCAGAATATTAACAAGCTGGTTAAGTGGCACGTTGCTTACCCTGCTGACAACCTTTAATATCCTGCGTAATAAGGTATAGTCTTTCTTCAGCAGCCCGGAAAAATCTAAGGGGGAACAATAGAGAATAATAGGTAGGATCATAGGAATTATTTAAAAGAGGGTTACAGCGAAGAAAATTTTCTTTTCGATGAAGTCATCAACTCAACCGCTGTACATTCGTGTATTTATATTACATGTGTGAGATAGTTCCAGAATTATTTCCGGCCAGAGGTCAGATCATTGAGATCACTAAGCGTAATAAACAGAAGATAGGTAGTGGCACTATTCTAGAAACATTTCAGACCAAAGGTCAAATTAAACAAAATTATAATGTGTAATAATCAGGAAGACTAGGTAGAAAAGACAAAATAAGGTTAGAATTACTGGAAAACTCCTCAGTTTGTACAATTATGGGTTAAGGATGTATTATTAACGAAATGTGTAAGAGGTTCGGACATATAAAAATAAAAACAGTAACCAAATCTAATAATGCAGGTAGAGATTTAAAAGGTAAATATAACAAATAAACGGGAGGGTTGGACAAGAAAGGCCATAGGATAATCATTATTAGTGAGAATGACCTTTCGTGATGGCCACGGTAGGGACAACGGTTGAGCGTATTACTTTTGGACAAACAGAGTGAGATTGGGTTTCTGGATCGCCAGCGCTTCAGCTATTCGTAGATGAACTTGAACAAAGCAAGAAGAACTATTGTACCAGGATAATATGAGCTCATCTTTTATTATTTCCAGGATTCTTCTCAACTGGTTACAACCTGAACGATAAAAAATATATGAATTACATTACATTAAAGATTTGAACATACTTTTCCACGATCACAAGGAGTAATTGGTAGGAAGTAAAAGTAACATTAGTCCGGAATGATTTAACTAATTAGGAGTTACAAACACTGACTATTTATAGAATAATTTAAATGAATTGTGATCAATATTTGACAGTTTATAAATATTTATAGAATAATTAGGCAATTAGGCTTGGAAACAAAAACAAACAAGCTGTTGTATATATTTTGTCACCAAGGCAGTGCAAGATTCACCACCGTCTCTTTCTGAGTACATAGATTTGGTTAAAGTCGTCTGATAGCAATTGCTTCAGCAAAGCGTAGCAAGCTAAGCTTCTTTTGCGCGCAATTGCACTGTTTAATACTAGATGTTCCTAGATGTCTTGATCTCACTCCATTTGGTAGGTTTGATCGGATCTTCTGTATGGGTTTGAAGGACTTTTCAAACGGGACTGAATGTCCAAAATTCACCAGATGTTCTGCTATCGAACTCTATACCCCTCTGCGTTCTCCTTTTGCTAACCATGCTGGATTAGTGTTTGCACGTGCGTTTTACAAGCAGACGCATGGTAAGGCCAATGTACTCAGCTACACACCAGCAACTGAACTTGTATATGGATTTTGAAGTGGTCCAATGTGACAGTTTGTCTTTTGCTTTCTGGCTGAACAGTTTCTTGCAGGAAAACTTCAGTCGTAGGCTCGTGGCGAAGTATGTTTTACTCAATGATTTGCAGAGGCGTTTACGAAAGATTTCTGGTTCCATGTCACCTTTGAATTCTAAATTAAGCAGGAGTATCTTCTTTGGGGCGGACTGGACTTGTTCGGAAGTCTTCTTTGATTTAAGCGGAAAATAGTTTTCCATCAGGGTTTCTCGGAGATCACACAGTTCTTTGGCAATCATGGAACAAGCTGCATATCTTCCGAATCCCCGAGGAAAGAGCGTTTATCAGGTATCTCTTTCTGCTTAGGGCCACGAAGCTTTGAAAGTTGATGAATTGTCCATTCCATGTAGGCGTTTTGTGTGTAGAACTTTTCAGACAATTGTTGGCGTTTCTTTTCAGACGGACGTCGAGGAAGTGGAAAATTCCGGCGGATTCAGCTTCAAGAGTAAAGTTGATGTTTTGCTGGGCACTAGTGAACGTTTGAAGTAAGTTTTCAAGGTCCAGGTTCTCATCACAAATGATGAAAGTATCATCAATATATCTAAGCTAGTCGTAAAGCAGTCAGTCAGGAGGGTTCTCAGGGGCGAACCCATTGCTACTGCATCTACTTGCCTATATATTTCGCTGTTGAAACTGAAGTATACATTGAAGGTGCATCGTAGTAATATGATTCAATGCGGATATTTTAGAAAGTTGTAATGTGTACCATTTTATTTTGTATTTTTTATTCTGTCTTCTTTTCTATGAACAGTTTGATTCTGGTGGCCCATTAATGTGTAAAAATAATCATCAATGGATTGTTAGTGGAATTATCTCATTTGGTTATGGATGCGGGAATGCTAATTACCCTGGAGTATATACACGTGTCTCAGATTATCTCGATTGGATTCAGGGTATCGCTAATGCTTTCACATTCTAAACTGAACTAAACTTAACTTAAACTGAACTGAACTTAACTTAACTGCACCAATCTGCTAACATTTTAAATGTAACAGAGGAGAGAGAGAGAAGACAAAGACAATGATGGAAACGCAAAGAGTGACACATTTTTTTGCATATTATATGAACATAAAAATGAAAATAAAAACTTACATATACTCAGAATAAAGTTGACTTGTTGATATGTATTTTTTTCTCTCCATCTAACGGGTGAAAAATTTTGTATTTTTCATTATCATATGGTTGATTATATTTTACGTTTCACTCACTGATTATCTATACACGTTTAGAATGTGCTTTGAGACAACAAACTTTATATTCTATTGATATTCAGTCAGAAGTGGAATAGAATTTTAGTTGTACGAGTTTAACTACTTATAAGTAGCCAAATGACACATTAAAATATTTATCTCATGTTAGATAACTAACCTTTAAAAAGAAAACTCTGAGAAGCCTTTAAAGTGCACACAGGAATATGACCGATGATATTTCTAATTGCGGTGAGGCGGATTATGTGGAAGACAGTTCAAGGGGAGACAGAAGACAGGAATGCGTTTGGCCAGTAATAAAACTGTAGAAGATCTGAACTTAGCTGACGATTTACGTCTAATTTCATGCAATAGGATACCCACGAGATTTCAACATATTAAATATTTCCATAGTAAAATTTAGAACAACACATTTAAGTGAACAATACTGTTTTCAATTAGATCTCATCGGGCTCAACTCTAAATACGTACATTAATTTACAAATAAAAGTTCAAATATAAACCAATCATGGTGTTTTATCTATAGGATAATAAGATGGTGAATATAAATTGTGCAATTAGTCATAATAGTAGTAACGATAATAATAGTGGTTTTATCAGTAATAAGGACGACAAAGTGAGGGAATTTGTGATAACACGAATAATGAAAAACAGTGTGATTAAGCAAACAAGTGTTCAGGTGGAAGTAGTCGATAAAGGCTAGTAAAAACAAATGAACCGATTAAGTAATGTTAGATTGTAAGGGAAGGAAATGAAACACGTTTATAATGAAGATAAGATTAAGGGATGATAAGAAAGGGTTTGAAAGTATTAACAAAGGGCGGTGTAGAAGTCATTAGTTGGTTATGTCTTAATAGGCCAAGGGAGGGATAACGGCTGTACGAACTTCTTTTGAATGCATAGTTTAGGTTTAATAGTTCGAATGCCTATTGCCTCAGCTGTGT